CGATGCCCATGTCCATCATCTCCGCCACACGTCTGGCAGCACGACGACGAGCGCAGGGGAGATTTGGATCTTGCCAGAAGGAGAGAGGGTGACGAACAAGAGCTCTTTGAATGCGCTGCGAGATGTCGTGTACAATCTGGATCCCGTCTACACGGCGCAAGATGTGCAGCGTTTGGATGGACAAGGCATCAAGTTGGATCTGCACAAGCAGCAATACATTCCGGGATTCGTAGGTCTCAACAATACGCGCGGTCACTCGGACTACATCAACGTCGTACTGCAGATCATGGCGCACATCAAGCCCGTGCGCGATTACTTTTTGCTTCACACTTTCGTCCAGCAAGAGAGCGAGTCAGGAGCATCTTCCACTGACATTCCTCCAGCTCAACATCCCTTGCCTTTCAAATCTCAATCTCAAACACCAGCACCCGCACCAAAGCACGCAAACAGGTCCGAACTGCTGCGTCTCTTCAGTCTGATCCTCAGGAGAATGTGGAATGGCAAAGCGTTCAAAGCTCAAGTATCGCCTCACGAATTTGCGCAGGAAGTCATTGCAAGATCCAAAGGCGTCTTTGGAGTGGAGAAGCAGTCGGATCCCATCTTGTTCCTCGGATGGCTATTGAACACGCTGCACGTCGATTTGGGCGGTGGAAAAAAGAGACGGAGTGAGTTGCCCTCTGCCCACCAACTGCCCCCCCACTCGTGACTTTTCGCTTTTACGGGGGCGGGGGAGAGAGGGAGCGTTGAGGTTGTGCAAGGGTCCAGCGAGACCTTTTCGAGCTTGAATATCTGCTGAGCCGTCCCGTTTGTACCTCCTAACTTCCCCATCTCTCTCTCTCTTCAATCCCCGACCGACGCCCCACAGCCATCATCTCCGAGACTTTTCAAGGTCAGATCCGCATCGAATCGCAAAAGGTTTTTGTGAGGAGCGGTATAGATATCGAAGATGAGCCGGACGGGTCGGGATTGGTCAGCGGTGGAGATGCGGATGGCAGGAGGGAGGGTGGTCAGGAGGATGCGTTTGGGGGCAAAAAGTTTAATATCGAAAAGGGTGAGTTGTTGGTGGTGGCGATTTGCGTACGGAAGATCGAAAGTTGGAGGGCTAGGCGACATGTCGAGGTTCGCAGCAAGCACAAGCTTGCTGCTGCAGCAGCAGCAGCAGCAGCAAACGCCGAGGGTGTGAGGAGGGGAATTCTGATAGCTAGTAGAAAGCTGTTTGGTTGGAGGAGCGCCTTGGCTGATGCGCAGGCCAGCTAATGGGCGCTCTGAGGAGAGACCACCAGCTTGTCTGCGGAGAAGCACGCATGCAGCTGTCTGCCGACTGGTTCGATCTCTCGGCCCGCTTTACCGCAGCTCTCATAGCCATCGCCTGAGCCGGTGGGGCAGCAAATCTAGTCGGAGAGTTCGAGCACGTCTTGACAGATTTTGAGCACGTCTTGACGACACTTTTGTCCCCTTTGGCTGACTCATCCCATTCTCCTTTGCAACGAAATCGCATCGGGGCTTTGCGGCAGAAATCCAAACGCAAACATCTCCCTTTTTCCACCTAGCCCTAGATCTACCTTCCCCGCCCGTCTTTCAAGATGTGATCGAAAAGAACATCATCCCGCAAGTCAGCCTGGCTTCCGTGCTCTCCAAGTACGACGGCACATCTTTTCAAGAGGCAAAAGGTCTCATCAGGAGGTTCAAGATCACCAGACTACCACCGTACATCGTTTTGCATTTTAGACGCTTCACCAGGAATGGATTTACGGAGGAGAGGAATCCTACGATTGTGAATTTCCAGATTAGGGATTTTGATTGGGCACCTTGTGAGTTCTGGGGG